TGCCTTCCTTAGGTCCCCAGCTATTCCTTATCACCAGGGGAAAGGACAGGCCCTTGATGGCAGCTGTGCCCTGGCATCCCAGCTTCCAGCCCGTTTAACCCCCCTGCAGTGGCGCCGTTCCACCTGCCGTGCCAGACCAGCCCTCTCTCACAGACCACCACTGCCGAGCAGCTGCACTACACTACCCCAGGGGGATGTGAGTTAGTCAGTCCAATCCAGGGCAGGGCGTGAAAAAAAGGAAAAAACTCAGAACAAACTACGGGTCTCCACCTTTTCCCTGCCTCCCTCCTTTGGGCAGGTGAGAACCGAGGGTGGTGGAGCTGCTGTCGATCACCCAGCACAGGGACAGCAAATGCTTCTGCAGAGCTTCTGGGGCAGCTTGGTCTGAGGAGAAAGGGCAAAGACAAAAAGGAGGGCAAAGACATCATTGTCCTTCACACAAGGTGAAAGCCAGGCTGCCTCCAATGGGATACATCCCTCCACTCGCCCAACAGCAAAGCTTGATGTACAAGACAAAAATGCTGGGTGCTCCTCGTCTCCCTAGCCCAGATTCCCTGTAAAATTGGCTTGCAGCATGGCTGAGGCTGTAGAAGGGAAAAGGATGGGACAGGTTACAGCAGGGAAAATGAGCAGATGCAGTTTGGCCTGGTTTGGAGGAAGCACAAGCAAGGCCTTAGGAGTAAACTCTTTATTGACTGAGCAAGGACGTGAGATTTGCTGTCTGGAGGCCCTAAAGCTCTCCTGCCACACACCTCACTCACCTCAGACCAGCTGTGAGTGCACTGATCTGCGCCGTGCTTCAGACTGGGCAGAGGGCTTTGGACCTTCTGGAGGGACAGGCTGTTGGGAAAATGATGGGTCCACAGAGGGGAGAGTGTTCTCAGCAGCACAGCTCTCTTCTCTGCCTTGGGATGTGGCTGGGTTTGGGACAGATCCTTGAAAATTTTGTCTGGGGGCTGGCGCATGCCCATGTTGACCAGTCTGGTCCAGTAGAGACTGAACGATCTGATTTGCCATGGTCATTATGTCCAAAGTATTGCCTAAGGTTGCTGGATTCTTTTCTCTCACCAAGCTCTCCTTCACCGTTGCAGGGTCCTCAGGCTCCATGGGTTTGGCATTTCCAGTCCCTTCTGCTTGGACCTGTGGTCCTAAGGGAGGCAGTTTTACTCCTGTGCTTTCTTCCTGGCCCTGTTCTTCAGATGCTCCAGAGATTCCTGGCTGCATTTGTCTGTTGGAGACCTTACCCTTGGGAAGCTTCAGGATTTTGGTGTACTCACAGCTGGAGTCTCCTTCAAACTGAAAAGCTACCATGGATTTCAGGAGGCAGCGAACATTCTTTACTACTTGTCTGATGAGTTTGTCAAGGCAAGCATGTAAATGTGCTCTCTGAGCTTCCTTGAATGTGTCTGCTTGAGTGGCTCCTCCATCAACAGGCTGCTCCTTCCACCTGGCTGCCCTCCCTGACTCAGAAGCTTTGGACTCCAGACGATTCCCTAAGATCTCCAACACTGTCGCTACAAGCTCTTTGGCCACCATTTCCATTTCTTGATGGTGGTCTAGAGGTGTCTCTGTTCTCACACAACCACCAAAAACTATTCCTCTGATCTTCCGGGCAGCCCTCCTTAAAAAGCTGACATAGTAATCCTGAGGGACCCTGAGTCTCCCAAAGACTTCTTGCACGACAGTCTCAATCAGTTCTTGGAGCTTCTGGGCTTCTGCTGTGGTCAGCTGCTCCAAGACAGCTTTAACATGGCTGTCAGCAGCACTGTCTGGCTTCCTCTGGGAGTCAGCAGCAGTGCTGGCATCTTCCTGACCCAGCTGAGCTCTGGAATAAGTTTGGCCCTCGTCCAAAGCTGTTTCCTCTCTTCTGAATCTCTGTGATTTCAGGGGGGTCTCTTTGCTCTTCTGTGGATGTGAGCAAGAAGGTTTCTGAGGCTGTGTCCACCGCTGTGCCCAGCAGAAAGTGTCAGTGGTTCCTGGCAGTTTGGGACCATCCTTTAATTTGGCCTGAAAGGTGACACCAGCTTGTGGCTCATGGTGCCTGGGCAAGCACTCAGCCCCTGCATGCTGAGGCTTCCCACAGGCCCAGGCCAGCACTCTGCTTCAGGTGGGCCACAAGGGCAGAGAGAAGGGCTTCCCTCAGCACTGCCTGTGCCAGCACATGGCTCTGCTGCCCGTGCCCAGCTCAGTGCCCTGTGCTCCCAGCCATGGAGTCCTTTCCCTGCCACAGCGCCCAGCCCAGCAGCACAGCCCTGAACAGCCCTGTGCCCATGAACACAACACTTTGCCTACCTTTTTCTGCCCCGAGATCTTATCTGATTGCAACTTGATCCTGGTCAGGTACTCCCTGTACTCATTGAACTCCTTCAGAGTGCAAACCACCTATGGAAGGACGAGGGCAGAATCCCAAGCCCAGTCAAGCCACGCAGACAGCCTTCCCTGATACAGCCCGACCCCAGTGGGAGGGGAGCTGTCCCCAAGCCGTGTCCCCAAACCCCAGTGTTTGGGGCACTGATGTCCCCCCAGCCAGGGCTGAACAGGCAGTGTGGGGCAGGCTGAGAAGGGCTGGACTGGGGCTTGCCCATCCAGAGGAAGGTTGGTGCTGTTTCTGCTCCCAGGGACACCAGCACACGGCCCTGCCCTCTGACAGCAGCAGGAGGCTGCAGCAAGGGCTGTGGGAGCCCTGCTTGAAGAGGGCTGTTCTTGATCAGCCCAACACCCAAACCCACCTTGTTGTCTCTGGTGACAGAGCCTTGTCTCTTCAGCAGCCGCAGGATGTCCTTGCGCTTGTGGTAGTCCCGAAGGTGGGGGTCATGCAGGCAGTTGTATTTCAGGCTTGGCTGGTACATGTAGGGATCATCCAGATTGAAAGAAGGACATGGCCCATTAAGCTGAAAGAGACATTCCTCAGAGTATGAAGGAGGCAGGAGAGAGCAGCAAAGGAGTGCAATGCAGTACTTGTGAAAAGCTGCCAGAAACCACTGAAGAGAACAAATAATTGCTTCTTTGCTGTGATCCAGGGAGCCTGGAGCTTCCCTCTGCTGCCTGGCTGCAGCTCCTACTGTAGAAGGCCTAAAGAACTATGCATGACAGGGACCACATAAAAGAGGAGAGCTTTTCTACCTTTCTCTTTTTACTTTACCTTTTCCCCCACCTTTCCCCTGCAGAAGACAGGGTGGGATTTGGTTTTCACGGGGATCTTGACTCCAAGTGGGAGGTTCAGCAGGTAAGAATTCATTTCATCTATATCTTGTTTCTCCCAGGTGTGCTTTTCGGAGGCCAATCTGGGAAGACAGAGACACTCAGGCAATAGCTCAATAAACTTCTGCCATGGCACATGCAAGAGATCACAGGTCCTTAGGCCCTAGAGCAGTCTTCCAAGCCTCAGCTAAGCTCTATCAGCCCACTGCACTCCTTCCCCTAATTCCCAGCGCACTCAGCAGTGCCTCTGTCTTTTGGCAGGACACCAGCAGTGAGATGGAGCTCCACAGCTCCTTCCAAGAGCTCTCATGATGTTGTGATGCTGAGCATTGTTCCACAGCTCCTTCCAAGGCTCTTGCGGTGCTGCAATCCCACGCTGACTCCTCGTGCTCCAGAGGTCTCCCAGCAATGGGGCATTGTTACATCACGGAGATGTCACATCACTGCATTGTCACATCACTGCACTGACATTGTGTCACACAGAAACTGCCCACCACACCTGGGGGGGAGGGGGGCACACCTGGAGGCCCCTTTGGACAGCCCTGTGGGCCATCCCCTCCGTGTGACCCGGCTCTGAGAGCTCCTGCCCACAGGCTCCTTCCCCCCTCCCCTGTCCTGTCATGCTGTGAGGCAAAGTTTCCTCACCAACAGGAAGGAATGGGAGGAATTGTCACTCCAGAGATGCACAGTTTGGACTCTGCTTTTCCCCCTTTCCCTTTTTAGACCTTCTTCCCTGTCATGGCCAAGCAGCCACAACTGGAGAAATTGCAGCAAACTGGAGATCCATCCCTGGCAACACGAGATTCCTTGGTCATGTTTTGAGAAACAGAAGAGAAGCATGGGCTGAGGGAAAGCCCTGTCCTCCCCTTTCCTCAGGCTCCCCTTCAGCCCAGACCCTTTCTGCCACCTTCCCAGTCTCCCCTGCTTGGTTTTTCTGTTCCCATCTACTGTCACTTCCTAGGCCTTCTTGGTTGGATTTGGTGAGGTCTCCGGTGCCCGTTCCTGCAGCCCGGCTGGTTCCTTGGGGAACACTGCCGAGCCCTGCCAGCCTCGCTCGTTGCACAAAGGCAAGAGACAGGCAGAGCAATCTGCTGGAGGTGCAGCGATGACCGCGGGGCTCTCAGTGAGGAGCACAGCCCAGGGACGGTGTTCCTCTGCTCCCCAAGCTGTTTCTGGCACACGCTCCAGCTGCAGCTCTTCTCCAGCTTGGCAAGGGGAGG